TTCTCCAGCGTCGGCAAGCGCTTCGTCAACGACCTCAACTCGCTGCTCGACGAGCTCAAGGCGTCCAAGGCGCACTTTGTGCGCTGCATCAAGCCAAACTCGAAGCAGGTCAAGAAGGAGTTCGAGCCGGCGATGGTGCTCGACCAGCTGCGCTGCTCGGGCGTCGTCGAGGCGGTGCGGGTCATGACGGAGGCGTACCCGACGCGCATCCCGTACGAGGTGAGCCGCTCACAAGCCCGCGTCGCGCCCTCCCTCCCTCTCCTCCCAAGCACCAAGCCTCCTTCCGCCGCGCCCTCCAGGTGATCCACGGGCGCTACGCGCCGCTGATGGGCAAGGAGGTGCTCGACGCGACCGGCGACGAGCCGGCGGCCTTCTGCGAGGCGATCGCTATCGCGTGCGACGTCGCCCCATGTACAAGTCCGTCCTCGTAGTGCTGTGCTCGCAGTGAAACTCGTGCTCCACCGCGCCGCGCCCCAGCTTGCCCCGCAGCAGCTCGACAAGGTCCAGGAGGACCTCCTTGTGCCGCGTCTGGTGGCCCGCCGCGCCGTCGTTCTGCGCCACGTCGCCAAGGGCGTCAAAGGGCAGACCGGGGAGCAAATTCTTTTCCCCGCCTGTCTCACTCAGCGCGTGCTCGACACCCGCCGACAGCGCAGTCTCTACACCCTCAGCGCCGAGAGCACCTCAAGCCGACCCGATCCGCTCTGCTACCTCGTCATGGAGGAGGCACGCGCGGCGGAGCAGGCACTGAAGGAGGCGGCGGCCAAGGCGGCGGCTCGCTCGGCGGCCGCCACCACCGTCTCTGCACCCGCCGACGCCCGCAGTTCTCTCGCCAACATGATCCGCGGTCGGGCGGGCTGCAGCTCGGCGGGCGGGCGGGCCGCGGCTGCGGCGAGCGGCGCGGCCGAGATTGTAGTGAGCGGGTGCGGCAACGAGAGCATCAACGGGACGTACCGGCGGGACGGCGAGAGGGACGGAGTGCCTTGCTACCGGCATGTGAGCGAGTCTAGACGTGGCACACAGGCCGCCCCGCGCGCTGGTAGGTCGCAGCTAGCTCCCCGCCACTCCCCGCGACGGCGTCCGCACCCAGTCCACCGCCATCTTGTCGCCTCGCCGCGATGCGACTGCAGTCTCCGGACAGCGTGACTGCAGTCGTGGCACCGCGTGGCCGCAGTCGTGCCCTCTTCACACCGCAGGCGGCCGCGTCGTGGACGATCGAGCGGGACACCGACCGTTCGGCCGGCGAAGCGGTGCGTGCGCGAGAAGCCAATCCTGCAATCTCGGACAACGGTCTCGGACAATCTCGGACAATCTCGCCTCCCCTCGCCTCCCCTCGCCTCCCCTCGCCCCCCCTCGCCTCCCCTCGCCTCCCCTCGCCCCCCCTCGCCTCCTCCTGCTTGCGTCCATCTGCGGTCGACCGAGTGGCACCCGCCTGCTCTAGTGCACCCGCCTGTCTGCTGTTCAACTCCCTCTCTGCGTCAGCGCCGCCTTCTTCTCTCCCTCCAGGTGAGCGAGTGGTGCATCTGCGACGACAATTTCTTTTCTCTCCGCCCACGAGTATTTCTTTTCTCTCCCTCCAGGTGAGCGAGTGGTGCATCTGCGACGACTACGGCTTCGAGTCCCACTGCTTCGTCAAGGCGAGAGGCAGCCGAGAGGCAGCCGAGAGGCAGCGGAGATGCAGCAGAGGTGCAGCCGAGATGCAGCCGAGATGCACCCGAGGTGCAGCGGAGATGCAGCCGAGATTGAGCCAAGCGCGAAGCATGAATCCCACGA